ATAAGCTGAACTCAGCAGAGAAAACAAGGAAGAAGGTCCTGCTCCAAATGGGGTAGTAACTCGTCATTCGCCACAGAACATTATTCTTTAGACTGAAGTGAAGGTGAACATTTAGTTTTAAGACATGATCACAGATGATAAAAAAAATCATAATAAAAGTAATTTACATGCAGCATATACATAAGGCACCAGATTTTAAGCAGACGGAATGGTATAATTTATTGTATCACATAAGCTATGCAGGGTACAGTAGAGGTGTCCCAATATGTTTCTTACATAAGTGATTAATTTTACCTCAAATTAATTTCTGTTCTTGTAAAATCTGACACAATTCACTCCATGCCTGGAATAGGCATTCTGCAGACACTAAGATGTATTTAAAACTGTTTACATCATGCCTTAAGCATGGAACTCCTCAGTCTCTACTACAATATTCCTGAATTGAGAAGAGTTCTATAGGTTTTGTAATGTTAAGAAAAATACCTTCTTAATAACTCTCCTGCAGTAGTACCAGAAGAATCCCCCTAGACTTAATACTTCGCTGTGCAAGCACGTCAGGAGAGGCAACCCTTTCTCAAGTCTATCTTGAATTCAAAGCACATATCACCATATCAGCCAAAAAAGCATCATCTTAAACCTCTAAACACTTCTGAAAAGTTACTTTCATACTTGAGCTTGAAGGAGACAAGTTTTAAATGTTTATACATATGCACAGATATATGTGCACATTTCTCTAGCATAGTTAACTCCTGCTGCAAGTTTCCGATTTCCAACACCCAGTCAATCCTGCTCCCTAGAACGGTTGTTTTGTTATTAACTCTCCCTACTGTTTTTCCTTTTTATGCTAAATTCTGTTATACCACTTTTCCTCACCTGTTCCCTGTCACCTTTATGTTTTCATCACACAGTACAACTTTTTCTTGTCTGCAGAATTCATTCTATTTCTGGCACAGTACAGACACAGTCTATCTTGTATTCCCTGCCCACTCTATTCTATATATTCAAAAGGCTCTATGCCATATGGGCTATCCTACAGATATGGCAGCTGGTGTGACTTGCCAAATACCACCAAAAAAAAGGAGATAAAGGCCTCATCAGATCCAGTGCCTCATCACTGAGAGTCCTTTCTAATATCCTCTAAATGATTTGGTTTTGCCATCCATAATTCCTAAGACACATCATCAGTATTTTACAACAGAGAGGCTTGAAGCCTGTGTTTGGTGATGTTCTTTAAGGGTACTTAAATCTACATACTCCAGTAAGAAATAGTAATTCAACAGTAGCTCATCCTGTAACTGTATAGCACTTTTGAGCTAATGAATTCAGGAATTGTTTTTAGTCTTGCCTTCCCCTCCCCACACCTTCTCTCTCCTGTTCTTGCTATCAGCTTAAAGCTCTTCCCGACTCTGGTCTTGAAATTACGTTGCCTGGTTTCTGCATTACCTGCCTAGATGGCATAAATATTCAGACATCCTGTCATTTCACTGCCCAACTCAAAGTATGTAATAACATGAGAAAGCCATAGGAACAAGAAGTATATTCATTTCTAGACTTGCCACTAAATCCTGCATTGCTGCAGCCAGATTCAGGCCCGTTATTAGTATAAAATGACCTCTACTGTTCAAAAAGTGATTCCTCTCTTTCTTCCCTCCTATATTGATAATTTTAATTTGGTACCATATCATTCCTAGACCAAGACATTGTTGAAACAACCAGCTTGTATTTATTCTTTGATACAAGTAGTAAGAGCAAATAATTATCTCTTAGCTTCACCACCTAAGAACTGTAACCTTTTTTGATACCAACAAAATTAACAAACACTAATTGATACATAAAATCTGAATGACAGGATCTTCTAGTATTTCATAAAGAAACAGTATGTCAATAATATATAAAAATGCCACAGTATGGCAAATTCTATTAAATGAAACAGAACACGTGGTTAATACCAACTGTTGTAATTAGAACAAAAAGATTACACCAGAAAGACTCAGTTAAATTTGGACAAGTCACTTACCTACAGTTTCAAAACCATTACTGGATTTGGATGATTACAGACTCTCATATTAACTCTGTGTCATACTGAATATTTGCAGAGCATGACTATTCTGCTGAAGGAATGGCTAGTCATCACTTTCAAAAGTAAAGCTTGATTAGACCACCATTAGTAAATTTAGTTTTTCAGGGCCAGATTCACCCTTTTAATGGGGTATAGCAATGCCATCCACTTGGTAAGAATACTTTGAAGTCCTGCTAATAAAATTAGAGAATATTAGTTATACAAACTAAGAAAACAAAAAGATTAGATTAAAAAGCCAGCAAACACACAGAAAGACATATGCCTCCCAGTCGCCATCCACTTTCATTTCCTCCTACTCATTTCTAGTTTTCCAGTCACCCTGATATCCTCCAGCTTTCAAATGCCTGCTTTTTTAAAATATCCAAACTCTCCCTCTTTCCAAGTTCTTTTCTCTTATTTTTCCTTCTCTTTGGGCCATGTTTTATTTTATTCCTCCCTGCCCCCCATTTATAACCTGTAACAATTTTTCCTATTTTGATACTGAATAATTTTTACTATGGAATATTACCCTACCCAGAGTCAATTTTAACTCAGGAATAAAGTCTTGCACAAATTCATTTGCACATATGTTGTGTCTTTCATAAAACAAGCACCAACCCCAAAACTCTACACTTAGCTATAAAACTTTCATGCTATTACATGCTACATGTATGATATACTTACATGTAATGTAGTAGAGGCCTCTACTCTATTAGGTGTTTTCTGAAAAGAATCCTCTATAATGTAAGGTCAGAACCCAAGCCAAAACACACTACAGAAACTATGTAGAAGTATTTTTTAAGAAATCTACTTGAAGATCATACAATGCAATACAATCAAGAAGTGCTTCTGCATGAATAATTCCCCCAATACCTACCACTGAAATACCACCCCAGAAAGTTATTACACGCCCTATACCTTTTAAGACATTGTCTATTACATTTTCACTCTCCTGTCCTTGCAGGAGTACACAGGAAAAAAACAAAAACAAAACCAAAAAAAAAAAAAAATCACACAACAACCCTCCTCCCCCCCCCCCCCCCCAAAAAAAAAAAAGGGGCACACATTTCTGACAAAATTGTGTCAATATGCATGTATACATAACATTTGCTTTGTTTCCTCTGATTCCCTGTTCAAAGAGGCTAAAGTAAAACAAGAGATTGTATTTTCAATAAATGAACTACAAGAACAGGTAAGGCAGTATTTGCAGGCAACACAATTAAGAGGCAGTACTGCTTTCACACATGTAGCTTGCCTGTAATATGTCCTATGCTCCCTTAAAATTACCTGTCCTTGAAAACACAAACACAAGCAGTTTGTCTCTTTTGATGATCCACTAAAGCAGGAGCACGTGGCTCTTTGACTGAAGAGGCAGGCAAGAGGCAAGGATGGACTGTAAAAAGTAACCTTGCAACTCCCACACTGATAAACAAGCAATGGAGGATAACTATTTTTATGTTTTCTCTTCAAAAATTAATTCTGTCATTATTAATATATTTGTAGCAACACAAATTCATTCTAGGTGATAGTTGTGACTGGCAAAATAGAAACATTTATCCCTGGCCTTTGTCACGTCATACCAGAGATAAAAATTCTCACTGAAAAATCAATGTTAAAAACCCCGCGATCCAGGAGTAGGGATTTTGAAGAGGTGCACATATGAGAGGAAGCCTGTCCTAGGCATCATTGCTTCAATTCCTTATATCCCATACCTTCAACACAAAAGTAGAAATAAGAGAACTGCTCTCACAAATGCACACACAACCTCCTCTTATAAGCAGCTTCTTTGTAATTTAATGCAGCCAGTCACCTTAGTTCCGTGGATTCAAATTATCTCAAAGAGAAAAAGGCATATTGCAATGCCTCTCATAGGTTAATTTCAAACTTTAAATTTTTGTGAAAAACTCCAAGATGGAGGGAAGATATTCATCTCAGGACTGGAAAGGATACATTTCACAGGTTAAGATATACTTTTACACCTTTACCTGCTGAGAAAGAGATACTATCCTTTCCTAAAAAAGAAAACAAACAAACAAACAAAAAAAAAAACCAGACATATCTTTACCTGGACGCAAATCCTGATTTTAAAGGTAGAAATCTGAAATGCTATCATATTATTTCATGATAATTGGGTCATCCAAAGCAAGGATCCTCCTCTACTGGATTCTTTCCCTTTATTTGATCAGATGTGGAAAGACTGAAGCTTGGCTTGCTGCGAGGGCAATGCTCTTTTGTGAGGGCAATGCCCTTATCTCCAAGGACCGACATTTTGTGTGTCTGTTGTTGGGTAAGACTACAAACATGGAAAGAGCAGGTAAAAAAGAAGAACACACTGTATTTCTTTGGAGATCATTCTATTACTGTGAGAATTGAGACCAAATATTCCTTTCTGCAGTCCCTAAGTTATTCCCACCAATAACGCGACTGTATCAAACAGAAATCTATTAAGAGAGATCTTACATTACAGGGAATAGAAATAGTTATCAGAGTGGTGTAATTATAGTGAAGGCTGTTATGAACACTGAACAGCAGTTTTACTCCTGTCTTGGAGACAGATTAGGCTCAAGAGGAAAGAAGGAAGAGGCAAAAAAAAAAATTATCAACTATTAGAAATGAAGGCACAAACTTCTGTTGCTGCTTTTGTAGAAACTTGGTTTGCATATGTGACCTACACAAAATGCCCGGGGACAGCTGAAAGAGGTTTGGAAAAACGTTTAGCATGGGACTTTAAATAAGAGAACACAGGCATCTGAAAGATTTTATTTCAGGCAGTATAGAACCATACCTTTCAATTCATGCTTTTATAAAAAAGATGACACATCACTAGTCAGACTAAAATATATAGCTGGTTTGAAAAGCACCTTTTCTATATTGATGAAATATCCAAAAGGTAAATTTTGACAATGATTAAAAATGCATCCTGTTGCGCACAGCATACAGTTCACGGGAATATAGCTCTCTGAACATGACTATGTTCCAGATGATTAAAGATTTCTTCTTCTGTTTCTGGAGTGAGCTGTATATTATCTTTGATTGGAGACAATGGATCTGACTTTTTACAAGAAGGAAGTTTTTCATACCCTCTGCAGAAAAAAACAAAGACAAAACAAAACCCGAGAGTGTTATGATATATTTCTAACCACAGGCCTGTAAGAATGTATGGGTTGAAACAAAACAAGACCCCTCACATAACTATGTACTCATCTATGAATAAGCTCAAAACGAACATCTGTGATGTAAAGTTTTACTTTAAATTACACCAGAACTGAACAACTTCACTGAAAGTTATTTCAGCTGTTCCAGTTTTTTTTTAGAATGATAGCTATTAGCTTTATATCTGAAAGGCTGTATGTACCCCATCCTACCTCAGGTTGTACATGCTTCCTTAACATTTAAGTCTTCCGAGTAACTGTAGTTTCATATATTCCCCGTGAGTCTTGACATTAGGACAGAAGAGATTAGTGTCCCACATGATTTATTTGCCAGACAACATAATTCTTAAAATACAAGGCTAATTTTGAAACATTTTAAAATATGAAAAAATAAGAAATAGAATACTCAGAGATAAATAAGTCCTGGTAGTGAGAAAAACCTGTTTGTGAAATAAATTAAGAATCCCCTAAAAGCTAATAAACAAGTACTTTATTTACACAGAAGTAACATATACAAATATATATATCCCCAGGATATACCCAGAAGGTACAGATGAACCAAAACTGAATGGATAAAATGTGGATGTTGGGAGCTAAGTCTTGCAATCATCAGCAGAGAACAGGAACAGAGTGCCATCTAGGCTTACTCTGTTCTGTCTGCCTGTACTCCGATAAATCCAAATATATGAATTTCCTCCCTGTGAACAATTCTGGTCAGACATTACCAACTCGAGCTCAAGCAATACATAAACAAACACTTTCACTTCCTCTTTGAAACTGTCATTCTTAGCCCACATCAAGAGGATAATAAAAAGTAAAATTTCTAAAAATGTTAGTACTGCAAGTAATATTTTTAAACAGAAATCAATTGTATGTTTATCATAGCCTACCATAAGGCCCAAACTTACTAAAATATATTCATTTGACTTTATACATTCTCACCAGTCTCACATTTACTACTTAGTGCAGAGAGAATACATTTGTCCTACTCACATTTGGTTTCAGTTAGTGAAAATAATGATTTTATTTAAATAAAACTTATTTATTCAAAGGTGAGGTCGCTACTTGGTGCTGGGAAAGCTTTGCCACCAGTTTTTACCTGAGCCCATGGAAATAGTGTAAGTTAGAATACCTACACTTTTTGGGGTTTGTTTGGGGTTTTGGTTTTTTTGTTTGTTGTTGGGGGTTTTTTTGGTTTTTGATTGTTTGTTTGTTTTTTAAATAATCATTGTCCTTGAAATTCAAACTTGCTAGACATTTGCAGAGATTTCAAGTTAGCCAGGGATTTTATACTGTGCAAAAACGTCTCTTATAACCAGAGACTTCAGCTTACAGAAATATTCCATCAGTTCACCATCATCTTGAAAGCAGAATAGTTCTGCCAATCTCTATCTCAAAATGTGTGAGGCACACAAGTTAAATAGAGACCAACTTGTGTTCAGTTAAGTTTGGCAACTTTTATGCAAATTTTGCATTTAGACTACAACATGCTTTCTGGCATTTCATGTCAAACAATAATGTTCATACAAATTATGTTAAACTCAATGCACTACTTCAATAAATGAATTTTAGCTAGGAGTTTTTCATGGTTAGAAAGAAAATAGTAATTAGAAAAGCATATTTACCACAAATCATACTTTATAACTATATCAAGCTTAGGAAACTAAAAATTGTATGCAGAAAATATTTCTCTTAAACTATTATATTTATTGAATAGTGTGGAGGAGACATGTAGAGGCTGCTTTGAAAATTGTTTCTTTGGGAAAAAAAAGTGTGCAGAGTGCCAAGTAAATGGTCAGAGAAACTTACCTTTTAAATTGGAAATTTTTCCGGAGTTCACTAATGGTGGCTTGCAGTCCCAGCTTATTTTCAGTATCACAGCAATTTTTCTTCTGCATAGGTGACAGTTTCCTACTTAATCCACTTACTTTAGCCGGCATTAATGGCTTAAGCTTTGTTGCGATACGTGACCCTATACAACTGGATTTATGTAAACCAGGAACCTGTGGGATTTTAATATTACAGCACAAATAGTTAAAATTACAACTTGTAAGCAACAGATATTATGCTATAAAGCTTGTAATCAAAAGTAATTGAGCGAAAAGTGGTTCTCCTTATCTCTACCTCCCCAACCTTCAGTTCTGGCTCCTTGTTCCAGTGGTCTCCCTGGTACTATGACTCACACAAGCCTGAGAGTCAGGGTGGGTCAAAGTTCCAATATGATTGACCTTTTGGTTGTTAAGTTAGTTTTTAGCCATGTCAGTTTTCTGGCCCAACTCATTATAAGTATTATCACCATTATTACATAAAGGAAGCAGAGTGAATGCATAACCAAGGAAATAAGTGGGAGAAATCCTGCTCCTAGCTGCTTGCTTTAAACTAACCCTACTCTCCTCACAGAAGCATCAATTTTTGTAATCAGGTGTTCCAGAATAAAGATGTAAAGTCCATCTTCACACAGAAGTTACTAACAATTACCACAAGATGTCACTAGTATACAAAACACACAATGTTCTTGTTCAGCAGAGAGAAGCTTGTGATTTTTAGTCTGTCTATGAGAAAGAAGTTAGTAGGGGTGTACATGACAGGATGAAAGCGTCTTCTTTTGACTTATGTATCTTTTGGCCAATTCTAATGACAATGCCTAAGGAGTTAAAGCACTTTTACCTGTTAAGGTCCCAGAAGTTTTTTAAACTAGACAAATGGGTAAAGCTCTCAGAAATGTCACAAAGACATGAGACAAGTTTATTCTCAGACATCTAAGAAACCACATAGAAGTCAAATTATGGATGCCCAACCAACAGGAAAAATAATCAAAATGAAGACAAATATTGACTGTCCTTCAATACTGATTTGTTAGTATGTAACAAGGTTTTTTTAACTAAAAAAAAAAATTAAACAAGAAAGGTTGACTAAAACCTTTCCAGAGTTTGAAATTTACATGTGGTTTTTCTAGTCAAAGAGGAAGGAAACTACTAACAGATCTATCAAGGTAAGCAATGAAATAAGGTTGTACCTTGTGACTGTATCTGGATTATGAAGACAAATGCAATTTGCATCATGAAACCTGTGTATTTAGCGTGCCTGAGGACAATTAAGTAGTGGGTTTTTGCCTTAGCTTAGCTTCTTAGTTTATACTGAAGTGTCTAAAATCTCCAAACAAGTTGCAGCTGTGATATCAATCATAGGTGGCCTGTTTACAGTTCATCGCAGCTGATACAGATTAACAAGAACATAGTTTTCTCTTGACAACATGTACATTGATTAAGATTCTTTCATTAAGAGTTCTAGAATAAACTAGTAGAAAAGTAAAAACTGATTTTCAAAATGTAGTAGAGCTCATAGTAAACTTAAAAGAATCTGTACCTTGGTTTTTATGATTGTGTTTTTTCTGTCAGTTTGAACAGCAGAAAATACTGGACACAGAGCACGTTGATCATCAGCCAGTTTTGAATTGGAGTCTGATTCCTTCATCAAGAGAAAATTAATTTGTTTTTAAAATAGGTTGGTTTTTGGGTTTTGTTTTTTTTTTTAAACACAATGTATATTTTTATTTCTACACACTAGTTATAATGTTTTCAGCAATTTTAAGAAGTTACACAAAAAATTTTGGCTTATTTTCAACAAGCAACACTACAATGACACACATATGCTTTCTGAAAGGACTTCTTCATGGACTAACAAAAGCAGAGAACAAAAACTAGCTTACCAGGTATTTTTACAATCCACTGTAGTGATAGCAGTGGAAAGTCTGAAGACAAACTAAAATCAGAGAACAGACTTGATTTAAGCTAGTAAGTCAATCCATTCTACACAACTGTGTTAAGCATTGACAAGTTCTACATAATCTGCAGGGTATCATTTTGAAAAGAGGACTTTGCTGCCCAATTTCTTTCATAATTTAAAGTGAAAGCAAATACTGAAATAACGTCTAGTTTTCTTACTTCTGCATCTGAACTGTTGTTGGACACTTGCAGTATTTCTGAAGACTCCAGACTGCATTCTGATGGCTCACAAGACCTTTGAGACTGTGATGACCGTTCCAGTTCTGTTAAAAGGGAAGATTCTTCCTCCAATTCACCACACACTGCCCCACTCTCTGTTTGTGCCCCATTAGTCTGATCTTCCTGGGATACCACACAATTGTTTTTCTGTTGCTGAAACTGCTGTGAAAATATAGTATGAGATGGACCAGGATTTCCTGAATTATTCAGGAAGCTTCTAAACCGCTGGAAGCAGGTTTTCTGCATTTTTTCAGGAGGTGTAAAGATAGTGCTTGTTGATTTTTTAGTTTCTGAAAACTGAGAAACATCTTCTAGTACACGTTTTGCTTCCTGCTTCTGGCAATCCTGCTCAGCATCTTGAGTTAGATCACTGTCAACCTTCTTTGCTCTACCATCAAACATAATTGCATCATTGCAGAAAAACCTATAAAAGTAAAAAAAGTTGAAGGCAAGGGAGAAGAAAGTTACTACAAATTATTGTCCTCTCCAAAATCCAATAGTTGTCCTACCCACCAATTTTGGTTTTGAAGTGCACTTGCAGACAAATTATTTTGACACTGGGCAAAAGTCTTAGTCCCTCAGGGAGACATTTAACAGATAACAGTAAAAAAAGGGGGGGGGGGAGGGAAACATTTGTAAACATGCCATTCATTGACTGAAATACTAATAAGTTTCTTTATCTGAAAAAGAAAAACATCTAGGAATTTAAGAATATTCATTAATTATCATAAAGCTAAACAGCAGTGAAACACTTCAGCACCTCTTATCAAGGAAACTAGAACCTATCTAGTACTTTTCCATGCTATAGCAGCAGCTCCTAAGAGTAAGTACAGGTCAGAGCTTTTTATAAAACTGAGCACTGCTTTAGAGAAGAACCTACCATCACTGACAACTCTTAATTTTTTATGCAACCTAACAAAACTTTCAGGTCAGGAAGGTGTGCATTAAAGCTAAAGAACATCAGTACTAAGATTGTTCTGTAAAACTACACTGCTCAAAAATACTCAAATTATTTAAGATAAAAATCACACAATAAGAGACATAATTATGATAATGCTTTGTAGAACCAATTCAAGTAGCTGTAGCCAAATGCAACCAAAAAACAGATAATAGAAAATATCACGGAATCATTAAGGTCAGAAAAGACCTCAAGGATCATCAAGTCCAACCATCAACCCAGTACCACCTAATCCCCTAAAACATGTCCCATTAACTCACAGCCAATTAAAAAAAAAAAATCTAAGAAACCTAAAGTCCCTCTTCTCAAAGTGCTGATACAGAGATCAGGAACACCAACTGAATGGGATGGGATAAGAATAGGTATTTGACATACAGTATGGCCAGGCTTAGCTTTACCAGAACAAAAAAAAACCCCTGTAAACACAAGTCAATATATTCACTAACTGCTTACAAATTTGGCACAAAGCAGCTACATTTTTTTTTTGGATATGTCATATGACCTTTACCTGGAAAAGAAATATGCCCAATTCCTAATTAATTTTGATACCCAGAGGGTCGGCTGTATTGAATAGTCTCAGTCTTCACTGTTGTGTTAAAAAATTTACATTATTTACCTATCTCACACATAGACAGCATGCCTAGCATAAAGAGTTCTCCACCTCAGCTCAGGACTACAGGCGCATCAAAACTGTTGCATAAAAAAGTCTAAGGTGGCATTTTTCCCATTTTCAGGATTCAGCAAGCAGGATAATGAACAGTATTTTGCTACTTATCAAAAAATGTGATGCAAGCATACCTGCTTCTTGTTCCTGGAACAATTACAGCATCCTTCTCTTTGTTTTTCCAATGCAGAAAGGAAGCAAATTTATTTCTAACTCTGGGGAGAGAGTTAGAGCTTTCTTGACTAACAGAATTCCCTGAAGAATCAAGGCTTTGTATTGCTGAGACACTCTTCTGTGCTTGGCCATCATGATCACTCTCCTTCTTGAATTTTTTTGCTTTTGAAAATGAATATTGGTTCAACAGATCTCCATCTGAGATTTCTTCTAAATATAAAGATTATAAAATATAAGCATAACTGTAGAAGCATGTTCTAGAATTAACCAGTTATGAAACAATTGAGCATTATATATTTACTAATGTTTTATAGCCTGTGAGAGTAAGGTCTGGTAGGAACATTCTTGACATCCCAGTTTAGAAGCCTAACAGTTGTTTTCTAGTACACAGCCTTAAAAGCAACTTTCTATGAGAAAGCAGATGGAGTGAAGGCAGAACAGTTGAAATTAAACATGATGTTTGTTTTTTTAGCACATTGCTAAACTAACTACAAATTTTGATAAACCAGGGAGCAGGAAGATATCAGGAGTTAAAGGCAAAAAAGGAGCCCCTAGTAGCATAATCAGAAAGCAAAGGAAGCAGAGAAAGAAAAAGTACTTAACATACCAGATATACCACAAAGTAAACAGAGAAGTGCCCCTTTTATTACAAGCCCCCAGTTTATTTCAGCACATACAATTTCAGTAGTGTAGAAGACATGATAGCACAGATTTTACTAAAGAAAGTGAGAAAATTGGGGAAAAGAACACCTACAGGGGGGATACAAGCAGCACGGTGTTAGAAGTATAGAAAACATTCTTTAGATTTTCTGTCTGGACAAATATGAACTCTGAGAAAAATAGGCTATTTTCATTTCTTCACAAGACATTATAAGATGGAAATTAAATCCCAAAATATCTGAAAATATAACAGATGGTATTAAACATGACATCTTGAAACTGAAAACAATGAAGTTCTATAGCAAATTAAAGTTAAAATCAAGTGCTGCTGAAAGTTTGCTGCCACCCTTAATTGTTACATAGGCTTTAATATTATGGCTCGTTAGTCTTGTAGGTTGTTGAAAACAGAACACAGATAAGTTAGAGTTAGGCTTCAAAACCTCATGCCAAACAGTCCAAGAAAAAAAATCCTTCTTTCCCCACAGCCTTCTACTGCTATTTATATACCTATTTTAATAAAAACGTACCACTCCTAGGCCTTTTTGCCAAGAGATCTTTGCCTTGAAGCTTTAGCCCTTTAACACTAATTATCTTCTCCATGCCTCTGGTTGTTGGTTTCTCTAATAAATGCATTTTATGAGGAACGGTATCTGCAGTAGGACCAAGCCTGTAGTCTCTGCTCCAAATGCTATTTACATGATTAGTATGTCTGTCATTCCAGCCACAACTTCTCTGCTGCACAGGCTATTAAAAAAAAAAAGACATAGGTTTATAATTTTGCCTTCCACATGCGATTTCCTGTTTTACCATATAAGAACATTTTGATATTTGCACAACTAACGACATAGTCTGTGCAAACATTTTCTTTTTTGTTCCCACATTTCTCAGGCTTTTCATACAATGCTTTTTCTTTTGTGCTGCCATGACTTCATTCCAATATGGCACAAGCGACTAACGGATCACTCTCAGACAAAATTAAGTTTAAATTTTATTTCTATCAGAAAACCTAATTTAGGAAAATACTTTCTTCAGAGAATTTTTTTTCAATCAGTTACTTCTGTCAACATTATTAAAGACTTATCAAATAAGTCTGAAAGTAAAACAAACGTTAAAGTCAAATGCCATGAAAAGTAAGATATTTACCTTTTCAGAGAATATAGGCTCCCACACACGTATTTCTCAGTTTCTCTAATAGCAGAATAGCTTTCACTGCCAAGTCAGTTGCGGATAACAGTCAACCATATTTTTTAAGTGCATGTTCAGACCCACATTAAAATCTTTATATAACTTCAGAACAAAGATGTTACCTGTGCAGTGTCAGGGTTATAATTATCAATTTGTTCCATTGTATCGACATCAATGTTGCCAATGGCAATTTCAAAAGCAGTATCATCACCAAAATGTCTGTTCCCATCGTATTAAAGAAAAATATCTGAATATTACATGGAATTTCAAGAACCATAGCAGGAAAGTTAGACTAGGCATTTCACATTTTTGTGCTAAAAGCCATTGCTAGAATATTAGCCAAAAGCATTAATACTACTACTCATGGCTCAATCTGATGCAACAGCAATTGTAATAGACCTGCAGTGCTTGGCAAGTCACAAAAGTCAAATGGAAAACCTTC